AAATCATCAACACTTGGTAGTGTTAACATTACAGGAACAATAGAAATATCATCACAGCCAAGATCTTCAAGAATGATGAGATCATCACCAATCACTATCACTAAAATAATTTTCTTACCTTTAAAATTCTTTTCACTTTGGATTAGATTTTTTAAATGGTGCATCTTATTATGTTATAGTATTTTTCCAATGGAAAGTGATAATAGAAGAGAGAACACTTTAAGTGAAATTAGAGTATAATAAATTATTCGATAAACAATATTTATTTATTTATTTATTTTGTTTTTTAATTTTAATTATTTATTATATATTAAATTTATTTAGATTTAAATTATTATATATCATATATATACATTTAATAGTGATAGAAAAAAAATCATTATTATTACTACTGACTATTACCACCACCATTAATAAAAAAGAATTTTTATGCAATGAAAATATTTCATAATCTTCAAGGGCATTGTTACCCAATTTTAATATCCATTAATTTTTTATTACATACATTTATTTTGGAATAGAAATGAGCCCACTGCCGCAGCCAGAGCCAAGCAGGAATCTAATATGACTCTTGTTGGAAATAATTATCCAGCATTTAATTTGATTAGTTTTGAACTCAGGTACTAAATATAAGAAGAATATATAAAATGACTGATAAAATGACTATACAGTTTATTATTTAAAATTGCAATACATAATAAAATAATTTATACTAATAAAAACAATTATTTACTAAATTGGACTATACATACATATTACAAAACTCTATCTTCATGACTTTAATTTATTTCTGGTAAATGATCATTAAAATAAATTCAATTTCTAATATATATTATATATCTTTTTTTCCTGCACATGCTCTCTCTTACCTTGTTGAAGTATTTCTTAAATAACGATAAAAGTGAACTCCAATTCCCCAACCAAACCCTTGTATAAATGGGAAAATTATTTGATGCTGAATTATTGTTAAAACAATTTCACCAACACTAATATTTTGAAAACCAAGTAGTGCATTGAAATAATTGTGTCTTAATAATAGATCAGACATGATTATGTTTGAATATGATGATGATACTTTTTTGGTTTTTGAAGAAGAAGAATAAGAAGGCTCGACTTCATTATTAGTAATAAAAATTGGTGGCGGATCAGTTTCATTTTCATCAACTTTCGTAATTATAGGCGTATATTCAACTCTATTGCTGTTATTATTATTATTATTATTATCATAATAAATTTCGTCTTCATTTAATGGAGCAAGAATTTGTTCTATAGTCTCACCAGGAGCTGGCATGATTGGAACTTTACGTTCATGCTCATCTTGATATGAAATTTCAGGTGTAGCTACTAATGAATTCATAACATCACTATTAGGATAAGACACTATACTACCACTATCTTCTGATAATTGGGATGATTGAGATAAGAAAAATGTGTCAACATCAAGATCACCATCATCATGTATAACCGACGAATTATCTGAACCTAGTTCGTTTGTGTGTATAGAGGATACTAAATAATTACCACTACTATCTGTTAAAGATCCATCATCGTAATCATCATCATAATCTGAATGATTTATAAATGATAATGATTGATCATCCTGTTCTTCATTATTCTCAAAAGACTCATCATCGTCGTCGTCGTCGTCGTCGTCGTCATCGTCGTCGTCGTCGTCATCATTCTGAACAAATTGTGGTGACACATTATCATATTCTGGTTTTATTAATGATATTGTAGAGATTTCTTTATCACTAGTTCCTACAATATCTTGTATATTATTTAATGGTTCTTGCGAGCTACTTGTATCATAATTGCTATTACTTGGAGGAACGACAACAACTTTTTGAGAGGAATTCCCATCCATTTAATGAAAATAGAATGAATATGTGTAAACTTAAAAAAGCAAAAGGTTGCATCATTTTACTCCCATTTATTGTCACACGATAACTTCCAAATTTGATCAATTTATTTATTATCTTTCTCGTACGTGCATGACTTTCCATAATAATTAACATAATAATAATAGGCTTGCCAACGTTGATTTATGTTTTATCTTTTTTATGGTAACTTTGATTAAAAGTTTTTTGTGAACGTGAAGAAAGTTTTACTATAAATTCTAGTTGGTTTATGAGTTGTAATACAAAAATACAAAATGTTATTATTACTATACGAGAAAATAGATCAATAAAATAGTTCAAGAAGAATTGATTATTTTACTAATGTTGTATAGGTTATTTTTAGGGAAAAATAGTCTTGAATTTAAATTCAAATTATAAATATTCAACTATTCAGATTCATTCGTTGTATGAAACAATAACCACAATTTCTGAAAGTTGTAACCTTTGTATTTAAATAATAAAAATGATAATAGTAATACATAATACATAATATATAATTTCTTTCCTTCCTAAAAACATCATTCTTGTATTTAAACAATTTCAAATTTCAATAGTCCCCATCTTCTTCATCATCATCACCTTCCTCTTCAATGATATCAGAATCATAGACTTTGGGGACAGGAGTTCTAGGAGTAGTAGGAGTAGATGATTTCCTATTATTATCATCATTATCATCATTCCTATTTTCCACAGTTTCATCAGTATAATCAACCCATTCAGAATATACATCTATTGGATCACTTAACGCTAAGGAAAAGAATGATAATAATTATTATTATGATATTTAATTATTATTATGATATTTATAGTTTTATTATTATGGTATTTATAGTTATTATTATGATGTTTATATTTACGGTTTATTGTTGCTTGAAAAGCTGAATTGCATATTCTACATGTCAAATAACCAACTTTTGCTTCTTTTTGCCTAAATTATAAAACAAAACAAATTAACTTATAACCAATTGGTTTTGAAAGCACTTTTAAATAAAAAAGATAGTACATTCTCACATCAACACTCCTTTCATGATTACAAATGACACAATCAAATTGTGTTTCAAGCACAAGTTTTTTCTTTGGTTTGAGTTTTCTTTTAGATTTTCGCTTACCCATTGATGCTTTAGGAAAAATATTTTAAACTGACTGTATCATTATCAAAAAGTTGTAAACCAATTACACAAATAAAATTGAGTGACAATAGTTTGTGATTATTGATTGACTGGCGCTAAAAAATTAGATTCATTCAAAAACAATTTATTTATCAATTTATAATATTTAAAATGTCGGTAAAAAACAGAACATCTGAATTCAATTCAGCTGTTGAATCAATCAAATCTTGTCAACAAACAGTCGTAGGTTTCAGACAAGGCATAATTTAGAACAGAGACGTTCTTTAATTAGTAGTCATAATAATAGTAGTAGTAGTAGCAGTAGATTGACAAATGGAAATAGTGGTCCTGTCGGAATAAATAAAACTGAATTTTCAAGGATGGCATCTGCAATTGGCAAAGATATTAATGTTACAGCAGCTAAATTACATAATGTAAGCAATCTTTATAAAGAAATGATTGAAATAATAATGTGTATATATTTACGCTGTTGATTTTTCTAACATATAAGAAAAACATTATTTGACGATCGTCCAGTTGAAATAAGTGCAAGTATTTCTTATTCTCTCTTCTTTGCATGCATAAAAAGTAATTTCTTATAATAAACAATAATAATATTTATTACATATAATTAAACAGGATATTGCAAAATTAAATAAACAAATAGCACTTCTTCAACGGCATGTTAGAGAAAATAAAAGTAATAATAAACAAGCAGATGAACATCCCTCAAATGTGGTAGTGATGTTACAATCTAAATTAGCAAATGCAAGTATGATCTTTAAGGATGTATTGGAAATGAGAACTCAAGTATGTCTCAAAATTTGATATAGCATTTGATAATGTTCAATTATATTTATTGATTTGATTAATAAAATAAATCAATAAATTGTATAATATAATATGAAAGAGAGTAGAAATAGGAGGGAGCAATTTATGTTTCAAGTAATCAACATGCAAATAATACACCGTCAGATAACAATCACGATAACATATTCACAAATATGTTCTTTAATATTATATGGGGCATACTGCAACAAAACCAGACAAAATGAACATTTGCACTACTAAGGATTTCAGGGATCAAAATTTAGTCATTTGTAACGTGATCATAATTAACAGTTTTATAATGTCCCATTTGTTAAGTGATATAGAACTACCCCTATATAAAAATAGTTAATATGAAACTCATTTACATTAGATCTTCCATGGAACCAAAAAATTACAGTATCATCAGAAGTATTTTAAAAAAGGAACAAGGTGAAAATTGCTCCTTATATTTTCAAAATAAATGATACTCAAGCAATTGAAGCTTATCTAAGGAAAGAAAAGATTACTTATGAAATTGTGTTAAAAATATTAGTTATTCTTTATTCTTAAAATAATACTATTATTTATAATGATAAGAAATACAAATAATCTCATATATATCAATATTTCTAGGCATATTTAGTAAAAAATAAAGTTAATTAATGTTTAGTTCATTCCTTGTTATACTTGTGATTAAAGTTAAAATTGTTA